TTAGTCCCTGGCCTAATGCCTATCCCACGCATGCTTAAACTCCTTCACTATGTTAACCTCTACCACTTCAGCTGAAAAGCTATTCCATGCATCCACTACCCTCTCAGTAAAGTCATACTTCCTGATATTGTTTTTAAATAAATTTTTTTTACTTTTCTTCCAAATACCAAAGATTGTTTTGCCAGTATTTAATGAAAAGAAATATTTAAGTTGAACTTTGTTGGATGATTTGTATTGTGCTAATGCTAATTGTCAGGGACAAATCATACCAAAAGATACAAAATTACCTTTATTCATTGTTGCTTAGTTATTTTAGTTTTTGAGTGAAAACACTGAAGATGATTTAAAGGAACACTCAACGTACCATAATCAATAAGGCTCATTTTACTGTTTATGGTACAAAGAAAGAATTCTAACGGGTTTTTAGGAGAAGGTGGACTCTCATCCGTTGCTTGGTTAATATGAAAGTGAACTTCCGCACTAGCCCATCCAAAGTTACATTTCCCAACAGCTTAAAAAAAGCTGGGGGAAAAGTAAAAAAGAAAGGCGATAGAGGGGAAAAGAAAGAAACAAAGTAATAGAAAAAAACAGCAGATGCCCAGCCACATATTTAAAAAAATGTAGTATGGTCAAATGAAACCGCTACCAATCGTACTATCTGAATTATAAATGTTGCATAGTTTGATTGGAGGTAGTAAACCAACTTTAGAATTTACTTCTTACCATGAAATGTGGTAGCATATTTACTTGTTCCTACTGAAGAGCACTTGGTAAAAGGACTATAAAGTCATCCAGACCACTTCCTCTCAAAGACGAGGTTTGGGTGCTGGGCTCTGCAGTTTGCATTGCAGGGTTAAATCCACCTCTAGTGGCTGTCTGATAGCCGCTAGTGGAGTTTTCGAGTAAACTTGTGACGCAGAAGCTCATAGGAAGCTTGGGTGCATGCACAGGTCTCGCTGTGCATGCATATAAGTTCCCCAAGGCTTTTTCTGGAATGGACCACTGCAGAGGAGGCCATGTCTCCTCGGTGACTTCGGCGAGGCGAAGAAGTGAGCAGAGCCACAGGAGTCTTGATGTTAGAAAATATAAGTAAAACTTTTATTTTATTCATTTTTATGGCACATGGGAAGGAGAGACCTAAATAGAACTAATGAGAAGGTCAAGATAACATCCTAATGTTATAGTTATCCTTTAAGTAAACGAGCTCCTAAACAGACAGATATATTTGAGTACAGGCTTTAATGGGTCCCGTCTAATAAAATGATATAGTCAAGGAGTTCCTCTATTTTTTTGACTCTACAGCATCTAAACGCCAATCTTCTTAAATTTAGTAAATAAATAGGATTAGCGGACTTTTGTTCAGGATAATAGATTTTATTTTACAGATTTTGTTTTTTCTAATGATCCTACTCTCTATACACCTTCACACGACCTACAGATAATTATATATTGAGCCCTAGCAGCGATAAAAAAAACAAAAACACATTGGTGCCTGTACGGTTATGTGAAGGGTTAGAAATGGACTTAGAATTATGCTAAGCAATTAATATTTTAATGTATTTGTTTTAGAAATATGAGTTTACAATATGCTAGAAATAGAACTCCACAGTGTGATGATTAATGAGCTTAAATGGAATCAATTAAGCAATAGGTTAAATGACACGATTACAGATACGGCATAAGAAAAAGAGTAGTGTGATCTCTTTAAAATGTAAAGCGTGCCCTGTAATTAATGATTTAGAAGTGTAACTTCCAAAACACCCGCAGGCTGTTTTTCTACTTCTGAGTCCCACGTACGTTCTTGGGTTATGTTTTTAAAACATATCCGAAATTTAACGGCGGTTTTCTAAGGTCCCCAATGTGCCCTTCTAAAAACTGCTCTCAGCTTGCAATGCCTCCACAATGTTTTTGCCAAGAAGGAAATGACATTTGTAATAGATCCATGAAACTTTTAAACAAGCTTTGCAAGGTATATTAAAAAAAAAAAATTGATGGAATTTTTCTAGAGTAAAAAAAAAAATGAATTTCAACATTAACCAGGAGTTATAGAACCACAGCTAATCTCTGTGCAGCACAGGGAACAAATCTTGGTAAATGCATGTCAGATTAAGTGTTTTTCTCATGTTTGCTTATCGTCAGCACACTAGGCTGGGAAATGGCTGCGCAATCACAAAATCACAATTTAGCCCAATGCAAAAGTAATTCGTAATAATTTCTGCAATGGAAACACAATGCCCTTAAGTAAAAGTAGCGGTTTTGGAAACAGGCCCAAGTTGTAATCATTCAAGGTTTAAGTAATATTCTGTACTCGACAGGATGTCCTCAATGGGTAAGCCAAATACATGTCATTTTTAAGGTTTTGGTACCACACACAGTAAGCCTTACTCATAAGGAGACTATTAAATATGCTGCCTTGGCTGAAAACATCTTAAAGTAGCTGTATGGGCACCATAACAACTTCATGGAAATTAAATTGTTATGGTAACCAAATGTAACCTGGTGCTTTCTTACATGAAGGGGTTAAAATGTTCAAGAACGGTTTACCACAAAGGTTGCTCTGCAGAGCCAGATCTCTTTTTTCCCCAGCGGCATCTGTCATATTCAAATGAATTTTAGGAAACGAGGAGTGTCGTCGGCAGTAGTGGCGGTGACTGGCTAGAGCATTGGTTCCCAACCCAGTCCTCAAGTACCCCCTAACAGTCCCGAATTTAGGGATTACTCAGTAGTTTATAAGGTGTTATTAGAAAGAAAGAGAAAAAAAAAAAACTCTCTAAACACAACAGGGTAATCCCTAAATCCTGGACTGTTAGGGGGTACTTGAGGACTGGGTTGGGAACCCCTGACCTAAAGAGATCAGCTGACACTCTAAGTCAATCAATAGCTCCCCATTCATATAAAAGGTACATACCTACCATAACTACAGATTGGCTTATAGGATCGATCAGTAGTTCTGCTCTCGGACAGTTTAACCCCTTCAGGTAAGAAAGCGCCATTTCTTAGGGAAATGACAATGTTAACATTTTGCTGTGGTGGCCAAGGCAGATGTAGATGGAATGGGCTGCAGAGCAGCGTGTGTCTCATTGCTGGATAAGAGGTAAATGTAATTGTGTTTGGCGATATTTTTTTTGAAATTAATTTTTTTAAGAAATAGGGGCAAATCATCTATACTAAGGAACTGAAGACACTGAGGAAATAACTCTGGGTGTTGGTACACCATTAGTTACATGCATTACTTCATCAAAATGGCAGCCAAGAACTCGGACACCTTGCACAGAAACGTTATGTAATTTCGGGCACCAATAAACGAACGCTGCATGAAGAAGTGGGGGGACATTTTCTTATTTTACTATTATTACAGGTTTTTCAGAACTGAGGTCCATGTTACCTTTGGAAGAAAGTAGGTGCTTCCTGTTTGTAGCTTTCTTTGCAAACATATGACTGGATAACCAAACATTTATTTTTTCTGTTTCTCTCTCTTTTTTTTGTAATTTTGCTACAGTTTTGCTCTGTCAAATGTCTGTTGTGGATTTTTTCTTTCTCTACAATAAACCTTTTTTTTCCCCTTAGAATAAATAACCTCTATGGCTTATATACATTGTTATGTTATATATTGTCTCTCCCTATATGTTATGCGTATAGTGTATGTCCACATCAAAAGAGTTACAAACTTATATATACACGTGTGTTACTATAATCAGAGACACAGTAACTCAAACTGGCCATCGGGCATACCGGGCAAATGGCCGTGGGGCCGAGGCCGGCAGGTGATCTCCCCGGCCGGCCCCTGCAGGGCCAGCGCTATCCGAGCGCCGGCCCTGCATAGTGCCTCCATGGGCCGGTGGGGAGATCAAAGATCTCCCTCACCGGCCCAGAGGCAGGGAGATACGGCCGCCAGCAGGAGAGGGAGTGAGGGAGGGAGGCAGGAGAGAGGACCGGCGGAGCTCTAGCCAGCAGCTCCGCCGGGTCCTCTCGCGGGATTCTGAGCGTTGCCGCGGTTACCACGGCAACGCTCAGATCTCACAAGAGTGAACTCTAACCTGCAGGTTAGAGTTCACTCTCACCACTCGACCACCAAGGAAGGATGGCAGCATGGCTCCGTTCAAGGCTCCCCCTCATTTCAGAACGGCCCCCTCCCAGGCTAAAGGTAAGAAGGGGGGGGGGGGAACATAACTTTTTTTTAAATTATTAATAAAAAAATATATATATTTAAAATTAGTGATGACAAAACTCACCTTCTCTGGCCCCGCCCCCTTCTTGGGGGGCCGCTCTAATTGAAAAATACCCGGGCCTAATTTTTTTCCCAGTCCGGCCCTGCTTTATTGTATTATGAATAATACATTGTTTATAGTCATGTACATGCTTTGTAATTTCTTAATTGACTGTTATGCTATTACCTTGAGACGGGGTGTGTGTTTACCCCCCCAGTTTTTCTCTTACACCTTTTGTCATCTAACCTTTCCCCAGTTGTTATTTCCTATATGTTTAAAATGGTTCAATAAAAAATATTTGAATAGAAAAAGAGTTGCAAACTTATATTGTACCGTCACTCTGCGTTTGTTGATTAACTGTATTGACTGACTGTTGATGGACACATTTGATGATGATATTGATGGAATGGCTGGCTCCATGGCTTCTTGCACAGATTAAATTTTTTCACTTTCCAGTAAAATAAAATAAATACAATATAACAGTAGTTCATGATTGTTGCTCCTTATGTTTATGCTCTGATTTACCTGTATTCTGCACCACTAGAATCTATACATTTACAGAGTTTTGGTTGTGCTGTTAGTAAGATATATTACTGCCAAAGATCTCTTTATATTATCATTGCCCAGCCAGTGATTTTTTTTTAAAGTTCCCTTTGTATTGAAGCACAATTAAAGGATTTGCTTTACAAATAAAACTCCATGATTTTCAGAAATCTTATATAAATAAATAATTTTTTCATGGAGTATATATATATATATATATATATATATATATTTGTGTAAGGTGCTAAGTATTTGTATAAGGAGTGAGCTTCAAATATGAACTGGAATAAAAGAGAGCAAGTCGGTTGAGGTGTGCCGATACCGACGATACGGTAGGCCTGTAAATAAAGAGGGCCCACCAAGGAGTAAGAAGATATGAAATGTGATATGTTGTGTCAGTATGAGGAGTGGGTGGGAGGGGCAATCAGACGCTGACCTTGATCGGTAAAGATTCAGGTAAGAGGTGTAGTTTATATAGGGGAGTAAGTTAACTTAAGCCCCTCCCACAAATACAGGCCAAACGGCCTTTTCACTTGTGTAAGGTGCTAAGTATTTGTATAAGGAGTGAGCTTCAAATATGAACTGGAATAAAAAGAGCAAGTCGGTTGAGGTGTGCCGATACCGACGATACGGTAGGCCTGTAAATAAAGAGGGCAAAAGTAATGTATCAAATATTTATTACAGTCAACAATATATACAATTTATCCAGATATAACTTTAAAAGCATCTCTTATCTCTTGTGTCGGTTTGGGTATATATGTAGTGTAGGCTGATGACTTCCAACGCCCCAGTGACTTGATGACGTGTACTGGTACGTTGGCGCTGGATGCGGAGGAGGCTGCTCCTATGCGAAATGAGTGTCCTGAGTAGTGAGCAGGATTGAGACCCAGCATTGATAGCAGGGATCGAATATAGCTCATGAAGGCAGTGGTGGTGAGTACCGTGTGTTGTATTTTGAATAACGGTTGTGATGGTAGCGCTGTGTTGTTTAGAAGATAGGTATCTAATGCTGTGACTGGACACCATTTGTTTAGTGTAGGGAAATATGTGATCTCTACAGGAGGTGCATGTTGGCTTGTCTTTGACTGTGGTAAAGAGAGTATGTAGTGGTCTCTATGTTTCCGTAGGTGCTTGTGTAGCAGGCGTCTATCTTTTTGAGTTGCTGTGACCGTGGTGAACTCCCTTGGCCTGAGGAACCCATAGAAGGCTGTGTACATAGCTGTCTTAATGACTGAATTGACGGTAGAGTGGAAAGGTCTGGAATCTAGTAGGTCTGATAATGACTGGAAAATTTTATTGTCTATAGGTAATCGCTGTGGCGGACGAGGAGGTATGGATTTTTGTATGCCTCTGAGTATATTCTTTATCTGGTAGGATGACATGAAGCTATGTGTGTTAGGTCTTAGGGTTAGCATGTGATGTTGTATGCCTGTCAGATATAGTTTGATTGTGTTGTATGATAAGTGTAAATTAAGGTGGCAAAAGGAAGTGAACGCTATAATAGATGTCATGACGAATGGTTCTGATATGTCGTGATCGGCGAGGAATCTGTTGAATAGTGTGAAGGCTCTGTTATATGTAGTGTGCGTGTTGTGTGATAGTGCTAAATTGGCTAGATCCCTACTATGTTCCATGATTCTGTCTAGTCCATGACTAGTTGTGAGAACGGAGGGGCGATTGTGGCTGCTTGAGCTGCTGATGGGTGTGCTTGTCGGAAAGCCTGAAATTCAAAACGAGACAGTCTGTCAGCTGCTATATTACTAATACCTGGTACATGAAAGCAAACCAAGTAGAAGTTATGACATGCAGCTAACCACGTGAGTTTCCTAAGAAACCTCATGATTGTAAGGGATGATGATCTGCCTTTGTTGATTATGTGACATGTGGCTTGATTGTCTGAGTGACAGCGTACGGATAAGCCTGACCACTGGTGTCCCCATGCCACAGCGGCAGCTACAATAGGGTAAATCTCAAAGAGCGCAGAGGTTGTAAAAAAGCCTTCTAAGTCATTGACTTCTTCCGGCCATTTACCCCAAAGCCATTTGTTGCCAAAGATGGCTGAAAAACCCTTGTTGGATGCTGCATCTGACCATATGGATGGGGATGTTTCTGATAATGCCGGGAGGAACAAACTTTTCCCATTCCAACTGGTCAAGAACCTCCTCCACATTAGTAGATCTGCTGTGGCTTGTGGATTCAAGGATAGTCTGTGGTTCTCGTGTTGGAAGTGTGGAAAAAGGCAAAGCAGTCTGGATATGAAAGCTCGTCCTTGAGGGATGATGCGCATAGCGAAGTTTAAAGAACCTATGAGGGACTGGAGTTCCTTGCGATTACATGTACCTATGGAAATGTAATGATTGATGCTTTTGATGATGGTGTCAATTTTCTCGTGTGGTAGGCTTGCTTGCATGGCTGCAGAGTCGAGTTGAATGCCCAGAAATGTAATGATGGTATCTGGACCTTCAGTTTTCTTGAGGGATATGGGGACGCCCAAGTGGCTGAAAAGATTGATTGCCTCTTTAAGACTACTGGGCGGCTGAGAGTTGCTTTCTATCATGAGAAAATCGTCGAGGTAATGGATCACTATGGGGCATCTTGCCACGTTAAGGAGTAACCAGCAAAGTGTTTCAGCAAAAGTGTCAAAAATCTTTGGGCTACTTTTTGACCCGAAAGTTAAGCGGGAGAAGAAATAGTATTTCCCAGCCCATTTTATACCATGTAGGTGCCAGAGGGAAGGGTGTATAGGGAGCAATTTGAAGGCATTTGTAATGTCCGTCTTGCTTAACCAAGTACCCACACCCGTTTGTGTGATGGCAGTAATGGCGTGATCAATGGTGGCGTATTGCAGGGAAAATTCTTCGGAGGGAATGAGGGAGTTAAGGCTTGGGGTGTCAGATGTATGTGGGGCTGAAAGATCAATAATAAGTCTTTGTTTGAGGGACGTTTTCCCTGTGACTGTCCCAATGGGGTTTGTACGCCATGATGTGAATGGTGGTGTTATGAATGGTCCAAACAGGAACCCCTCCGCCAGCTCTTGTGCTATAAGTGTACTGACTGCTGTTGGGTTCTGGTTTGCTGATTGCAAGTTTGGGCATTCTAGTTGACCAGTGGGCATCTGTATGATTCCTGTGTGGAACCCGTTTCTGAAACCTGTGGTAAGAAACTCTACCAGATGTCTAGAGGGATGATTGACTAGTAGTGCTGTTAGAACATCAATTTTTACAGACGTTAGGTAAGGTTTGGGGTACATTTTATTAGGACACATGGATTTAGCATGTGCTCTGAAACATTGTGAACATATATGCAACAATCTACATGCACTAAAACTACATGTGCCACCATTAAAATTATTGCAGATCTGAGATTTGCCGAAGAAAATGATGGGACGACCAAGCTTGTCTCTGGCGTTCTTCCCGGTTCTACCAGCGTAGCTAGTGCTGGGTGCCTGGCTGTGGTCGTCTGCTGTGCTTGAGCAAAAATTTGTGGTGTGTGTAGTAGAAGAGCAGGACACACAAGCTGGTGTTTTAAGCCCTGCAAAGTGTCGGCAGAAAATTTCTGTATCCAGTCTGCTCCAGTTGATACGGGTACCATACTGGGAGAGGGCGCTAGACACTTTAGTGGAAAAAGACCTGTGGTAATCATAAAATGCCGTGCCACCATATTTGTTACCAAGGTCCACCAGCTTGTGCATGTAATGATCGAATTCCTCTCTTCTATTAGGGTACACTTCACACATCACATCTCTGAATATCCCAAAGGCTAAGACAAATTCCGGGATGGTCAGTTTACGGTTCAACCTAGAGTCTTTGGATCTGACCACCACAGATACTTCATCGTACATATAAGTCTTGTTTTCTACCACATCCTGGGAGGCAATTAGTAGGGATGCTAGGTTGACATCTTTGCCCTCCAGGATGTCTTTCTTGATGTGAGCTGGGATAGTGTGTGCAGGATATACATCCTGTGAATCCGGCGAGTTTACATTACCCGTAGCGCGAGGTACCGCTGGTGCTTGTTGTACGGTGTCGGGAAGGCCTGCTTTGGAGAGTGCTGTGGTTACCGCCTCGAGATTAGTCAGTCTGTCGTTGACCTTGCTCATGGAGTTCATAAGTGAGGCCAGCATAGCCTGGATGTCCCCTGAATTGGAGGTGCTGGGGCCTTCTCCTGCTTCCGTATTGATCGTAGTTGTGTTTAGGAGTTTAAACAATTCCGCTTTCCTTGCTGTAGCAGGGTAGGGAATTTGACGTCTCCTTAGCTCTGTTGTAATGCGCGGTATTGTCCAGGATCTGATTGACGCCGGACTGGTCATATCTCCCCTGTAAGAAGGTGTCTCGTCCCTAGCTGGGGTGCCAGGAAGCGATAGCTCCTCCCCACTTGCATGAGACATGTTTGACTAAAATAAAAAGTAAAATTATTATATGAACCAGGTGTTTTAAGTACTGGCTTGCTAGCTATGCCGTAAGGCGAAACAATTATGCTTAGGTTTGTGACTGGTGAGGCCCTGCTAATGCCAAGTGGCTTGAGAGGCTCTATCTATGTGTTGGCGCGATGGAATTATTTCGTGGCCACCGATCGTAGTGGCAGGATGATGGCCTCTCGGTGAGATTTAACAAGAAAAAGGGAGTGACAGATGAGGCCCTCTCTATGGAACTTGCGAGGCGGCTAGCTCACGAGTGGCCCGAGGGGTAAATGCCTCCGAGTATGAGGCGGGTTTGTTGGCCTCGCGGGACCGCTAATCCGAAGCATAATGCAGAGAAGGGGAATAACCAGCTATTGGCCCCTTATGACCCTATCTGCCAGTACTTAGCTATCCTCCGGGGATCATACTTGGATGTACTGTGAGCAGGTGTACATACCTGAGAGTATAAGTAAGGATTTATTTAGACAATCCGTTTAGTTGGTAGCGGATACCTGTAACTAAATAGATGGAAAACCAGATGAATATAACATGCAGCATGAATGCAGTCTTACTTAATGTTTATCTTTTCCCTGGAGATCCGTGTGGATGATGCTTGTAGGATATCCGAGAGTTTAAATTATAACTATATATGTGATAATAAAACTGCTATTTATTACCTACATGTCTGTTGATATTTAACCATGGGAAGTCGTAGGGTCTTGTTTGTACAGATATGTAATATGACTGTGTATTAAGTAATATGTACCTAAAATTGGAATGGTTGTGTATACCCGTGTAACAATCCTATCGTTGTGCTATATTGTGTAACTTAATACCTGATGACTAATAATCCTGTACCCCGTATGGCCAATAACCCTGTATCTCATATGTGGGATCAGTGTAAGTAGAACCTGTATGTTCTCATGTAGAATGACCTGTAGGGGTCAGTGTATGTTGAAGTCCTCATGTTTTATATGTATATATACATATGGCCTGTAGGTGGCAATAAAGTATGGATGCCCGTAATGTAATAGTAAAATATGTAACAGTGTGGAACTTGATCAGTGCTCTGA